AGCTAGCCTTTCCTTAATATGCCTGGCCCAAGTGCTTGAGAACTTGGGAAGATGATTCACATAGAGATGGGCCCAATGATTTGGCCCATGTAGATGCCTAGCCCATATCGGATGGCCAACTGGGTTTGGATTTAATGGTTTGGATTGGCCCAAGGTTTGGATTCACCCCATTTATATTTTGTCCCTTCACTAAGGGTTTGTTTGGTAATGTTTTTGTTTTCAATTTCTTGTTTAAATTTACAAAAATTTGGAAAAAAAATGTCATATAAACTTGTTTGGTAACTTTTTGAGTTTATAAATAAATTCCCTCAAATAAAAAATTAAGGCAAAAATCATAAACTCAAAAAAGGTGTTTATATTTGTTTATAAATTGATATAAATGTGGAAAGGAAGTGGAAGGAATGGATGGGTGTGAGGTCAAGAGTTCAAATCAAACCCCAAGAGTTTCATTTTGAAGCAAAAGCGGAAGGAAACAAGCTTTTTGTTTTGTTTTTTTGTTTTTTTGTTCAAACCAAGTGTGTTTACAGTTTTTGTTTTTTTAAAAATAAACGAAAACTAGTTTACATTTTTTTTATAAATATAAACGAAAAGCGTAAATACCGCCCAAGGCTCCGTTTGTTTAGAAAGATATGGATGATAGAAAGTGAAATGAAAGAAAAGAAAAAGAAATGAAAATTTATTTTATTGCATGCATTTGAATAGATGAAAATTTTTGCAAGAAAATGGTGGGGAAAATGTAATTATCACATAACAGGGAGTTGTAGAGAGAAGTATGGGCAAAGAGGGAAACAAAACAATCATTATCAAGTTTGGTCGGAAAAAATAAATTCCCCTGTATATTTTGCGAGAAATCGTAAGCCTAACTAACAAGCTAATTTGGGTTATACAGAAAACTTTAGTTTCTAATATTTTATAGGGCTCTTTATCTAAACAAATAAATAAAAAAATTATTATTTTTTCTTTTTGTTTCACTTTCATGTATTCTCTATCTAACCAAACTAAACCAAGCTTCTAGTTTTTTTTTTGGACACAAGAAAATATAAGAAAGTTTTAACTTTTTTATAGTAGTAGTTACTTAATTAGAGTTCTTAATTTTCTTACAAAATTTTCATCACAATCAAATTCATACAAGAATTTTTTTTTCTTTTCTTCTCTTTCACTTCACTTTTTATCATTTTCACATTTCATCATTTATTTATTTCTAATCAAACGGAACCCAAGTGTACTCTAAAGTTAGGGCATTTTATACATATTTACACACATCTTTAAAGAAAATACTAATTAAACTAATATAATACAGCTTATTTACTATTTCCTTTTCAATGGATTACCTACCAAATTGCAAAATTACTAATTAAACATTACTTTTGTTCTTTTGTTCTTTTTTTGCTTGGTAGCTGGACTTCATTTTTTTGAGCTCTTCAGCTTTAGTTTGGGCCCTCCATTTGATTGAGGCGTCTAAAAATATTTTAATTTTGGGCTTAGTATAAGGATTAAAATTATTTTGGGGCCCAAATTTTATATAATTTTTGGGAGCCCAATTTATTGTCCTGTGCTCGGAGCCGATCCTACACAAAAAAAACAAAAAAAAAAAAAAAAAAAAAAAGTTTTAAATTTGTATTTTTATATTTTTAATGATTTTTAAAAATATTTTAATATATGTTTTTTTTAGATCCAGTTAATCTAGATATACTTAAAAAAGTATAAAATTCGTACAAAAAACTTTTAAAAGTTCATTGAATACAACAAAATATGAAAATATTCTTAATTTTTGTATATTTTAGATATTTTTTTTTTATATTTGGTGAATTTTTAAATTTTCTTCACAAATATTGTATCTTTTAAATATATCTAAATTAGGTGTATTTAAAAAATAAAAAATTTACATAAAATATTAATTAATAAATAAATAAATAACTCAATTTTTTGAAAAGTGAATCGGGGTTTTCTACTCTCTCCACACTTGTATCAAATGGGTTGAAAAGTTTGTTATTTGAATTTAGGACTTCACCTCCTTATATATAATGTCCTATTCATAAGAGTCTTTTTTCTTTTTCTTTTTCTTTTTTTTCTTTTTTTTTTCACAAGTGATAGTTTTATCAATTTTATACGTTGGTTATAATGTAGTTAAGGTTTACATTAATCTTAAATGCAATCGTAAGTCGTCATGATAACACTTGTATATCTCTATTTGAACAAGCAAGAATCAATCTAACATTTTATAAAATGTAAAACACTTGACATATTTATCGTGTAATTATCGATTAGAGTCAATTTACATTAAGAGAAACAATTATCAATTACACTGTTTAAGTAATCATGTTCAGAATAACATATTGGTACCTGCATAGTTTCCTAATGTACGACATACATAAACAAGTTAAGCTTGAGTTTGAAATGAAAAATAAATCTATATTAATATGCATATTTTTAAATAAAAAATTTATATGCAAAATGTAGAAAAAAATATTAATATTATTAATAAATTTTATCAATCAAATATTTAAATTTGAACCAATGCCAAACATAAATAGAGATAAAATAAATTGATACAAATATATTTGATACATAATTAAAAAATATTAGTTTATATATAATTGTATTCACCAACCTATTTAAGCTGAGCAGAATTTTTTTGTTTTTGGTTACTAAGCGGGTTCAAAGCCCCAAGATCCATAAAAAAGAAAAAGAAAAAAGAGAAAAAAAAAAAAGAAGGGGAAGGGGAGCTAGTCCTTTGAGCATGCTTGGCTAATAGAGACTGGATGAGCGGAATCTTATTATTAAGCGTGTAAAGGGTCAGAAATTAAACTCCAAATTAAGTATGGGCCTAAGTGTTGAGGTCACCATTCTGAGGCGACTAGGAATGAAAAAACGATCATGGGTTAAAGCTCAAGGGAAGTGGGTCAATAGTGGGCTGAAGCAGGTCCGACCTGCCAAGGGTCCAAACAGATTCCACGAAGGAAAATGCCTAAGTGAAGTTGTAGAGGCAACATTTGCAGCGGTCAAGTTGCAGAGGCAACACTTGCAGCGGTCAAGTTGCAAAGGCAATACATGCAACGGTCACGTTGCAGAGGCACTTTGCCTCAGCGTCGCCATCCCCTAATATTGTCGGTTCCGCTGCCATTTGAAGTTGCTGAGGGAAAGAAAAAACCGAAGCCACTAAGTTACAGAGGGGACACTTGCGATGACTAAGTTGCAAAGGCACTTTGTCGGTACCGCCATCTCTAATATTGTCGATCCTAGGTAGTACTTGCAGCGCCCAAGTTGCGGAGGTATTTTGTCAGCGCCGCAATCTCTAATATTGTCGGTTCTGCCATTGGAACTTGTCGCGGGAAATGACTGTCGTAACAACTACAGCCGCTGCAACTAATATTTGGAAGGAACATCCCGCTAAGGTGATAGCAGCCTTTGAGAGAAGTTTCCCCTCTACAAGTAAAAGCTAATACTTGACGTTGATAGCAGGCCCCAAGGCATTACTAGCCCAGGGCTGATAGCAGGCCCCAAAGTTCATTAGCTTGGCGCTGATAGCAGGCCCAAGACTTACTGGTTAGAGCTGATAGCAGGTTTAGAGATACCAGTTTACCGCGGCGATCCCGAGAAGATGGGAGCAAGGCAGCCTTAGTGTAAGGGACTCCCTTTCTATTACCCAGGTCATGGACCTGCCTTAGTCGCACAGGCAGGACTGAGGAAGCCCTCTTAGGCTTGGTACTAAGGCACAACATGACTGATAGCAGACTTGGTTGTGGCCTTCGTCCTGGAAAGCTGGGGAGTTTGTGGTTAGGTAGCTAAGGGTGGAGGTTTCGCTAAGGTGAACATGAACATAGCCGATAGTAGGCTAATAGAGTCTTGAGAATGCATGTACTAGCTAAATAGAATTGAGAGGGCAAGTGAAGCAGCAAAGTTTACCGCTACAAATGCACTTGCTGAGGTTCGAGTTGAGAAGGCAAGTGTAACGACAAACACTCCGGCCGCAACTGCACTTGCTGAGGCTCAAAAAGGGAGTTGCAGCGCCAAACACTCCTGTTACAACTACACTTGCTGAGGCTCAAAGAGGTAGTTGAGGAGGCAAACAGATAGTACACAGTACATGCAGAGAGACAAGTGGCACCTTTAATCTGGTGGCTCAAGGCAAAATATTATGTGTGATCCTTAGGGACACATGTCTTCTCTCTATTTGGCCACTTGGTGTCCTCTTGGTACCAAGGAAAAGCCTATAAATAGAACCTATTTCCTAAGGTCCAGAAGGAGGAATTTTGGGGATTTGAGGGAGATGCTGCCCATTTGTGCACTGTCATTGTCTTCTTCTTGAGCTACTTGCTTCACTCTTACCCAGTTGCTCACTCTCTAACTTCCTAGACAGTTACTACTGCTCATCCTCCAGCCATTCCACTATTATTGGACCATTAGCATAGTTTTGCCTCTCTAATTATCTTCCTAACCTTGAACCCCCCTACATTTCTAACGACTCCATTGGGGTGGCTGCTTTGTTGATGGTTCATACTCGCAGTGGCTTATACACTTCACTGGAAAAAATGGTAGAGGATGAAGTTCAGCAACCCCCACGGCAACAAGGCTCTTTCAATGGCAGAGAAGCACATATTAAGGACCATGACCACAGTGTTGTGGTTGAGGCAGTCTAGGCACTTCAAGATACGCAGAGGGAGATCTTGGCAGCTTTACAGACTCTCACCGAGGCTATTATGGCCATGGCTTCTAGACCAGCTCCAGTGCAAGTACCTCCACTTATAGCAGTCCCAAACCTAGTGCCTAATCCGTTCCCTGGGAATCAGGTTCCGATTCAGGTGCCTCCGGTGATACCCCAAGCGAATAGTACGGTTGCTGGTTCCGCTACCCAGGAGTAGACTGGACTATTCCAGCCTACTCACTTCATTACTTTAGCAGATGTACAAGCTATGCTCGAGCAAGAGCGTAGCAAGAAGCAACTACCGTCTCTTCCCAACCGAGATGTGAAGCCCTCATACTCTTAGAAGATATTGGTCATGCCATACCCAACTAGGTATACAGTACCCAAGTTTATCAAGTTTGATCGGAAGCAAGCCAACGCTAGAGAACATGTGGTGAGGTTCATTGAAACTCTTGGTGTCTATGGTAGTGACCACTTTTTGCGTCTTCTGGAGTTCTCCAAATCACTTACTGAAAGGACCTACAACTGGTATGTGAACTTGGCTCCCAACTCGATCAAGAGTTGGGAGGAAATTGTTAACAAGTTCCACACAAAGTCCTTCCAAGTCCAAGAGAAAGTTATAACCCTCATGCTTGGGCGAGATGCCCAAAAAGAAGGTGAAGATATACTGGACTATGTCAAGGGGTTCCAAGATAAGGCCATTGACTATCATGAACCAGTGGATGAGGCTCACTTAGTTAGCATATGTGTGGAGGGTGCCATATGCAACTACAAAATCTTCTTTGTGAACCATAATCTGCCTACTTTTTCAGCCTTGATTGAGGTGGCCAGGAACCTCAACACCACTGATCCTCTGCATAGATCTCACAACAATCACCGCTACTCCCGCAGTAGTAAAGTTGCCGCGATAACCTCCGCAGGAGGGAGCTTCTCGCAAGGAGAGGCATTATTCTCTCGGAAGAGGAAGAGTTATGAAGACAAAAATCCATATCCTTACAGCCTTGAGAATGTCAAAGCCTTGGTTAAAAAATGGGTAGCTGATGGTGAATTTACTTTGCCTCCGGTTGATGTTCCCCAAACCAAGAAAGACAAAGAAAGCCCAGATTATTGTATCTATCACAGAGCCACCAGACACCTTATTAGGGACTGTTGGACTTTGAAAAGTATCTTCAAGAAGAAAGTTGTCATGAATGAGTTGAAATTCAAAGACGCCGGTAACCGTGATGTAAGGAAGGACCCTTATCCTTACCACAAGGAGAATATAAAGAATGTACATATGATTGGCTATCTTGGGCCTGTGCGCGATCAAGTACATGGCATTCTACTATGATGAGTTAGAAGAAATCGCAACTGGCCAACTCCCTGAAACAGTACCCACGGAGGCAAAACTCGCAAAACATATTCATGCTCAGGCCTTGCAAAACTCTGTCAAGTTTCGTACCTTCTTTGACCAGCTGGGGCTGAGCCAAGCCGCCAGGTTGAAAGCAAGCAAGGCCCCTCATCAACATCTTTGAAGTGCATCATCCTGAAGTTGCTGAGGCTAAGAAGTATGTGCCTCGGCGCATCCAGGAAGATTATGGGGCCATTACCTTTTCAGAGGCAGACACAACATACCCATTTCTTCATAACCGCCCTCTTTTTGTCACAGCATACATCAATGATGTGGAGTTCAAGCATGCTTCCTTTGATAGCGGAGCATCCATAAACATCATCAGTACCGACACCTTTGCGAAGACCGGTGTCCTAAAGTCTAGGATGGTCTGCCAACCCATTACTGTGACAGGTTTTGGTGGTGAGAAAAAAGTTACTCAGGGCCATGTTGTAATGGACTTAGCAGTTTGTGAGATCCGATCCGCAACTAAGTTCCATGTGAGTGAAGCGGACACAAATTATCACATGATACTTGGTAGAGCTTGAATGCACCGATATGGGGCTATCCTGTCTAGTTATCACCAATGCGTAAAGGCAAAGTCTGGAAAGTAAACAGTGACCATAAATACATTTGACAAGCCATTTAGAGTAGAGGAAGCACAATATTCTGATGCAGTTTTCTTTACTGAGCTATTAATGGATGAAACTCCAAGGACTAGTAAGGTTACAGGGGTGAAGTTGCCGAAGTGGGAAGACATTTGAGATGCAGAGGCTGCTCCAGAAAGTGGTGGGCACAAGAGGAGCAGCAAGTTCATAAGTCCTCCGCTCAAGATTATTAAGGTGCGCGAGGGCGGTAAGACATTTTACTACCTATGATGGTCTTAGGGGCCAGACTTCATACCTTGGGAGGATGCCCCGAGACCAACAAGCGTGATGGCGACGAATTCTAAGAAGGAGTGGTAAAGACCCGTGAGCCTGCCCCTGAATGCATGCAAGATAGACCCAAACCACAACAGGAAGTACTTGCTGAGGTAAACCTCAACGACTTACCAGAGTAGAGCAAGCCCGTGTTTATCAACGATACAATGGCTCCAGCAGCTAAGGTAGAATTAATAACACTACTAAAGCAATACAGTGAAGCTTTCTTTAGAGATAGGACTAGATGCCTGGTCTTGACCTATCCCTTGTCACCCATCACCTTGACACTTTTCCCAACTCTAAGCCAATAAAGCAGCATGCTCGAAAGTATCACTCTGCCCTTGAGGCGAAGATTAAGGAAGAGGTAAAGAAGTTGTAGAGGGCCAAGTTTATTGATCCTATACAGTACCTAACTTGGCTAGCAAATATTGTGCATGTGAAGAAGAAGAACGGCCAGATCAAGGTCTGCGTAGACTTTCGCGACCTGAACAAGGCCTACTCGAAAGATGACTTTCCATTGCCCTATGTTGACATACTTATCGATGCTATTGTGGGCCATCATATGTTCTCCTTCATGGATAGGTTCAGTGGTTATAACCAGATCAAAATAGTGTCAGAAGACGCAGAAAAGACAGCTTTCAGAATGCCCTTGGAAATTTTTTTCTATACGGTGATGCCCTTCGGTTTCAAAAACACAAGCGCAACCTATCAACGGACTATGACTGCGGTGTTCCATGATATGTTACATCACGAAGTAGAAGTGTATATAGAAGACCTGATGGTAAAGTCTATCGAAGCAAATCGGCACCTCTGCGACTTGGAAAAAGTTTTTCAGTGTTGTCGAAAATTCTGTTTAAAGATGAACCCTCTCAAGTGTGCCTTCGGAGTTACCGCAGGCAAGTTTCTTGGCTTTCTGGTACACTAACGGGGGATTGAAGTGGACAGGGATAAGACCAAGTCAACCATGGAGATGCCACCGCCACACTCTCAAAAAGCCTTGAAGAAATTCCTAGGCAAAGTATCATACCTTAGGAGGTTCATCCCAGCCCTTGCTGAGATAACCTTTTCCTTTGAGACACTACTGAAAGGAAATTACAAGTTTGAATGGTTGCAAGAACACCAACATGCATTCAATATGGTAAAGCAAGCACTTACCTCTCCACTTACAATGATTGCCCTACAACCTGAAAAACCTCTGTTACTGTACCTTACATTTACACCTCGGTTTATTAGAGCTCTATTTGTCCAAGACATAGACGGCGCTGAGAAGCCAGTTTATTATATCAGCCGCAAAGTTAATGGTGTGGAATCATGGTATACCCTAATTGAGAGACATTGCTTAGCCTTAATTTTCTCCACGCAGAAGTTGCGCCATTATTTTTTGGCACACCCGATCCAGGTTGTGATCAGGAGTGATCCAGTCTGCTATTTACTGAGCGAGCCCGCTCTGACCAGAAGAATGACAAGATGGCTTTTGGCTCTAGCAGAATATGACATAACATGTATTACTCCTAAGGCTATCAAGAGTGTAACAACCCTAACCTCTAATTAACATTAATCCGTACTTATTTATGCCTAACAGTAATTTAGGAAGGATTTGGGATTAATTTGCCTATGTATTGCATTATTTTTGTGTTTCTATCTGTTTGCGATAAAATGACCTGTTCATGCCTTTGATTCTAAACTGCGAATTGAAAGCCTTATCGGCGACCGATTCAGAAATTGAGTAGTGTTTTATACTAGTAAGAATATATGTAATTTTATGGGAGGTTTAATTAAAATTTGGTTGGTAAGATTAAATTAGATTAAATAATGCTAGATTAAACATCGATTAAGTGAACACAAGTTAATTACATCATTGCCCTTGAGTGGGCCACTTTCTTATACATTGTTTAGAATTGATTCATACACCATTTTCAGCCTTTTTCCTTGCCAAAACCATGTGAGAGAGGGAGTGAGGGGGGAGATTGAATTCATCTAGAGATTTTACTTGGAAATTGGAGGAATTGTAGAAGAATTGCATAATTGAGCCTCCATACTTGGAATTGAAGACCTAAGGTAGGAGAATTATCTTCTTGATTGTGCATTTAAGTTATACCTTGCATGGTCCATGGTAAAATTGAAGATTAAAGTCAAGAATTGGTTGAAAATGTTGATTTAAGGCTTAAATCATGCATGCATGTTCATATCTTAGCATTTTGAAGTATTTTCATGGAAGTTCTTACATGCAAGCCCATATTCTAGCCTTAGTCCATGAATTCATCATGATTTTGAGCTCAATCTTATATTTGGTCATGTTTTAGAGCATTAGATTTAAAATGAACACTTGCATGTTAAACTCTTGTTTTGTTCTTGAAGTTCTACTTGTAATTGTGTTTAATTGACTCATCTTTGGGCTTTGATTTTACAAATTGATCTTTGAAACATCTTATACTATGAGTTTACAAGTGTTTTCTAGAAAATGGGCCAAAAGGGTTGAGATTTGAGGTGTTGAATGCTTGGTTTGAGCTTGGGAGGCAAATCTGGAAATTTCAGAATTTGGCTTCCTCGCTCGAGCAAAGGATTCCACGCTCGAGCGACCATCATTTGTTCAGAGCTTCGCTCGAGCGAAGGAATGGTGGCTCGAGCGTAAATTGTAAGCTCTCAAGTTTTTGGTGCACGCAGACGCACGCTCGAGCGACGAGACCTACGCTCGAGTGAAGAGCTGTGTCTCACGCTCGAGTGAGCATCGAGTAGGTATCGAGCGTAAAATTTCAACAACAAGTACTTTTGCATTTTTACAGACCGCTCGAGCGAAGGAATCTACACTCGAGCGACCCCTCTGTTTTGACAAGCTCGCTCGAGCGAAGGAAGCCACGCTCGAGCGAGACCCCTGTTTTCAGCAAGTTTTGAAAAATATTTTCCAAGGCATCTTTGCATCCTCATTCCATTCTAGGCATTCCTAGGCCATGTTTAAGACTCTTTAGTGAGGATATAAGGTTAGAAACACACTAAGAACCAACGACGTAAGTTTTGTGCAATTAAAATGTGTGTTTCAAGTGTGTGTCTATTATGTGTTATGTAGGTCACGTGCCGCTTATTGTGTGATCAACCTGCTCTGCCTGTCTGTTTCAAGTCCAACTGTGAGTAATAATTTAGTAAAGTTATGTTCAAACTGTATCTACTTTCTGTGTGATAAAACAAGATCTGTTTTCCGAAATGATATGTTCTGTACAATGAATGATTGTTCAATTTCTGATATGTATTCGTGACATCCTTAGCATCATGTGATATCTATTAGCTGTTACCCGGTATCGGAGGTTCCTTTATGGAACTTATTTATGTCTGCACTCTGTTACCCGTACCGGAGGCCCTGTCACGGGGGCTCAGCTTCTGTTCTGTTGCCCGGATACGGAGGTTACTTTATGGAACTAGTTATTCGTAACCTTACGTGTATACGTTCTGTTCTGTTAATGCTAATGGATGTATCACGTAAAATTAATCATGACTTATGATTTCTGTCTGTATATGATCTGGACAAATGATGAATTTGATACAAATCTGAATTATGATTTCTGAATCTGTACGAACTCATTCATTGAAACCCTTTACTCTATTATTATTCACTGGGCTTTTGTTCACAGTTTATATTATGTATGTAGGTGAGCCGGCACATGACTAGAGCCAGAGTTGACGGCCTTCTGTTTTATTTTTGTCAGCCAACTGTTGTGCCTCTCGAGGAGGTTTCGAACGAAGCCTAAAGCCATGGCTATTTTTGTATTCATGCTAGTCTTTGTGTATGCTCTGTAAAGTCAGGTCTTGGGAAGTACATTCTGTAAATACCTTGTAAATATTGTGTATCTGGACTGGCATGTTTATGTATATATAAATAAGTTTTGAAATGTTCTGTCCCATGTACGTTATCACAGCTCATTGGACCTTATCTATTTTGTATTATTGCTTCCACAGCCCTTTATTATTTGCTAATCTGTTCAGAGGCCTTTGGTAATCCACGGGTTACTGGCCGATTATGGTGCTAAACCTACAGGGCGGGTTTGGGTC